AGGACCAAAGTGACACTAGACCCAAAGTGGCACGCTTTGAAAATTTCACTGATTTATAATGTCAAGAAAAAACCTGGATTACAAAGCTCTTGTTATTGCAAGAGTGGCACTTGATTTGAGTCTTACATAGCATTTTACCTTATTTATAGCCCAAATGAAATGGTTTCAAGAAGAAAATAAGCTCGTTTCGAAAAGAAAAATGGAGAAAGAAAAACTACTGATTCCCCAATTCTGACATTTTATTAACAACCAAGAATGGAATCATTTTGGGTTCACTATTTTGCTAGTACAAAATCTATCATAATGTGATGACTCAGAGGTCCTTCAGAGGTCCAGAAGGAAAAAAAAAACAGATATAGAAATCAATATTTCCTTCTCCATGCATGCCACTTCAGCTTCAATTGAAACCAGAATGGAGAAATACCCAATACTCCACGTCCCAACCTTGGGTCAAACACATCAAACTCTGACCTGCGTAAAGAGTCCAAGAAAATCTGTGCAGGCACGGCTGGCAGAAGAACTGGAAGAGCCTTTTTAGGTACTGTTTGAGCCAATTCACGAGCCTTTTGCAGGTGGACATTGGCTATTGATGCCATCTCAAAGACTGCATCTGAGAGCTTCTCACGAGAGTCCATCCGGATTTCTGACCGACTTCCATGCTTAACCAACAACCCATGGTTGGTTGCTACATCGGCTGGTATATAACAAATCGGGCGGTTACGACTAGCATGGTAAGGTAACGACCTTAGCAGCAACAAAAGGCCACTTGCCTTCCCAATATGTGAAGCAGCATGATCTGCTGCAGTAGAATTGATCCCACCAGCTTGAAGTGTCGTATAGAGAATGGTAGACACTGTGTCCTCAGCGTATCGCTCTAGTTCCTCGATTGTGTCTGGAATCTCTTCCCTCCTTGCATCATTGATCCGAGCTTCAACAGATCTTTTCAGCCAACCCTTAGTTATTTTGTGCTCAGAAATCACACAAGAGAGGGCCTGAGCAGTTGGATGCTCTATTACTTTGTCGGCAAAGATCTTGTCTATGGCTTCTTGCCACCAGAGGAGACGCATGAGGCCAACCCTAGGATCAGAAGCAACATCCATGGCTTTGGCTGTTTCAACATTGAAAGCACGGAGAGCAAATGCAGCCTTTCGCATGTCAGGGGGAAGATGGAGGAGGCAGAAATAGTGGTGATAATCATAGCTTCGAACTTGCTGTACACAATAGGAAAAGGCTGCTCCAAGGCCACTGGATGTGGAAGCAGCCTTCATCAAATCCTTATCGGGCTCCTGTCCACAATATCAACCTGAAGGAAACAATTAGAACAATGCACTTTATTGAGATTGAACTAAATGCTATTTAAATGAAACTATCAATTTATAAATTGATACACTCCACCCCTTCTCTTATATTCAAACTTAAGAAAACAACATTTTGATAGTAAAAGGAAAACTTGTTAAAAGGAGTCACCAAACATTTAACCCTTAGGCTATGTTTGGTTTGAAGGAAAAAGTAGGGAAACCTCTACAAACTTTGTATAGATTTCCCTGCCTTTCCCTTTCTTTCCCTACTTTTTCCTTCAAACCAAACACAACCTTAAGGAAAACTTGTTAAAAG